GGTCTGTTTGAATGTGTGTTTTGTTTTTGCTATTTTTTGTCTGCTGATTTTTTGCAGGTGTAGAGGCAAAGTCGCCACCCATATTGGTGACTTTGAAGTCGCCACTCAGATTAACGGTTTTCAGTATTCATAATTAGCTCCAGCAGTATTTCCGTAAATAATTTTAACGTGACCTATTTACGTAATACTTTTTTAATTCACATTATTTTGGAAAAACTCGCAATTTTGGACATGTATATACACGATTTGTGCTAATTTTTTTTTTTTGTGTTTTGTTAGGCTGCCACGTAACCATGTCCACCCTTATACTTTTTTTCATTTCCTTTTTTGTGCTGCACTCAAATTCTTTTTTTTGTGTTTTGTTAGGCAGCCTTTTTCATAATAAATGAAAATTTTTTTTATTCAAAAAAAGGAAAATCTTTTTGTTATTTCAATATATCATAGTACTTCCTCCGTTATTAACAAGTGCAATAATCCACTTTTTATCAGTGTACAACTTTGATCATTAACATATTATTCTCTAGTAGTAAAAAAAATTTAAAAAATGGATTTTTGAACATTTATAATGAGACAAATTTGACATTTTTTATTTTATGTTGTTGCTACATTAACAAATAAAGCGTAGTCAAAATTGAACATGTAAATAGTGTAAAATTTAACATGTTTGCACTGATTTAACAACAAAGGAAGTATTACATTGTGAACATGAAATTGGAAAGATCTAAAAATATATCTTTATTTGAAAAGGACTTGTAAGTCTACACAATTATTTGGAAGATACCTAATATAATTATGATACTACTAGTGTTGTATTTAATACTAAAAATAGTCACACATGTAGAGCCAATTTGATAACTTCTGTTTTTGGCTTATCGACAACCTTTTTTTTTGTCAAATATTGCACTTTTAATTTTGCATGTTAAGCTATGTAATAATAAACACAATTAATGTTAAAGTTACTTTTCTGACTAAATTGGTCAGAATTATTGAAAATGATTATTTAAAATAATTTTTATAGAATTGTTTCTTTATTTTATTAATGTAATATATTTTAAATATAATTTTTTCCAAAAAAACTGGGCAATTCAGTTGCTTCAACATGAGTTTCACAAAATTCAGCAGATTCTAATGTTACCAAGATAATATGGAGCATGAAGTTATGAACAACATATCATTATATAAAAGAGTGGTTTGGTAATCAGTCTTATCAACCATTTTTTATACCAATCATATAACTTTGGATTTTACATGAATTATAAAAATATTAAAATAAGTAAGATTGAAGTTATTTTCCTGACAGAATTGGATGAATATGCCGAAATCATTAGTTTAGCTTCTTTTTTTTTTTTTTTTTTAATTTTTGCCAGAATTTATTAAAAAAGATGAGGAACAAAGTGAGAGGGGGGCTAGACCAAACCTCTCAACAGAGGCATTCCTTTGGAGAATACATGGATAATGAAAGAAAAAAGCAAATGAAATTTTTTGGGGGGGCTACGCCTGACCCAAAAATTGAAAAATACATGTACTAGAACCGCAAAGCAGGAAAACCAAACAAATCAGCATAGTAGTTATTTTTAATCAGTTTAGGCAAATGACCTACCTGATTAAAAAGCATTATTTGAGCCGAATCCAAATGCAGAGCAACAAGATGGTGTGTCGGCCCATTTCCCTCCCTAAAAACATGACCAAAGGTGAATCCCTTGTCTGTTGTCTTTCTCTTGAAATCAGCGAAGCTGCCTGAACCAGCCAAGACCTGTGAAATCGCTTGAGATGAATCACTCTCAACCTGAAAATCATTAGTTTAGCTATTTTCACATATCATTTTCTTTATTTTATTACTAAATTATAGTTTAAATAAATACTACCTCTGTTTTTTTATTACGACATGTTAAACTTTTTTTATTACGACTTGTCAAAGCTTTCACTATTCACATATTGTACATTGATTACACTTTATTTTTCAATCTATGAGAAATTTATTTAATGAAAACATTCTTAAACTCGTCTCATTGTGAAGTGTAGTTTCAAAAACTGGACTTTTAAATTTTCACTAATAGAGAAGTAAATGTATCAACGTTCGAAGTTACGTGTTGGCAAACATGAGGATAAGAGTGTTGCAATTAGAAAGAAACAAATGAAGTACTACTTCTGTCCCATTTTATGTGTCTCATTTGGTTTTGACATAATTTTTAATAAAATGGTTGAAAAGATAAAAGTTGTGGTTGAAATTTGAGTATAGTAAAGTGAAATGTTCTAAACCACATATTTTTTTCCAAAAAGGAAAAGATGACACTTATTTGGGGACAACCCATAAAGGAAAGTAAGACAGATAAAATGAGACGGAGAGAGTATAATTTTTCATAGTTCGGCGAATTCAATCAATTTAATCGCTTCAGTTAGAATTTCACCAATCACATCATATTCAATTGATTCAACCTATTTTTGTGAAACCAAACAAGCTCTTAAGGTATTTTATCATGATGAGCCCTTAGGTATATGAGATTGAAATGTAAAAAAGATTACTACATCACAAAAGTACAAAACCAATTTAAAATGTTTATCATTTGCAAAGTATGTTAACTATTTTTAATTATATCTTGATCTTAAAATATTACTATAAAAAGCCGCTCAAATATAATAAATAGGGGTATATAATTACTAATACAAATGTGTAGAATTTATTCAACACAATTTCTTTAAACGATTAAAATAACAAGGAAAAATAGAAAACGATAAAGTAACATAATCACAACAAATAATATCTAAATATCAATTGTGCATAATGAAAAACACCATGTGGAGAATGCAACTAATTCTTGTCTATATAAGGGTAGATTAAATAAAAAAAATTATCAAAGACAATGGTGTGCAAATACTAATTAAAAAAATCAATGAAAATATTCAAATGGGTAATTTTATCTAAGTAAGGTTAGATTAATTAATTTTGTGGGTGAATGAAGCAATGTGCATAATTTTGTGGGTGAATGAAGCAATGTGCATAATTTTGTGGGAAAAGTACATAAAACGTACATGTGGTTTGAGCCATTTTCAGATAGGGGCATGTGTTTCATTTTCTAACAAAGTGGGGCATGTGTTTCAATTCCGTTGTCATAGCAGGGGCATGGCGTCTAACGCCGTTAGAAAAATTAACCTCGATTTTAAAAAGTCTCCAAACAATTAAAAGAAAAATAATGGGAGGTGCGCCTCGTCAAGGAGATAAACAAACTATCTTTATTTTTTTGTTTCCAGCCACCATATCTCCAGAAAGTCCACCAGAAAATTGATATTAGCAAATTTGTTTTTAAAAAATAATCCAAATAGAGCCGAAAAATCCAAAGAGAAAGATAGTTTGTTTATCTCCTTGACGAGGCGCACCTCCCGGTGTTTTTCTTTTATTTTTTCGGAGACTTTTTAAAATCGAAGTTCATTTTTCTAACGGCGTTAGACGCCATGCCCCTGCTATGATAACGGAATTGAAACACATGCCCCACTTTGTTAGAAAATGAAACACATGCCCCTATCTGAAAATGGCCCAAACCACATGTACGTTTTCTGTACTTTTCCCTAAATAAATTATCAAATACTCCTTCGACCCTATTAGTTATTAACAGTGTGTTCCATCATTAAATTATTAAATTAGGACTGAAAATTCACTCTACACACAATTATAAAAGAAAATTAGTGGACCTGATTTTTATTCATTTTTTGGGCCTATGGCCTCGCCCCTCCTGCCTCCAGGCCCGCATCTGATGGTCCGAAACTGCCATCACCGCTTTTCATGAAAGATTATTCTATTAATTGGCACATGTCTAGAATGATCAACGGGTATTCAAAACACGGAGAAAAGATTTATTATAAATTTCCTACCTTCTTCAGCACTCCAGTGACCCTTGGTAAAGCCTACTCAATTGTTATTTGGCGATTCTATATTTTATTCGAAAATAATTTCGAACTCTCTTGAATCCCTTATTCCATTAATGTTTTTTCAATCAACCCATCGCAATTGCCACGAGCCTCCATAAAATTTCAAAATTCCACGTCCAAGTCTAGGGCTTCCTAGAAAGAGTGGATTCGTGACACAACCGGTGGAGGAAGCCTCGTCGGCCTCCTTGTAGATCTCGAAGAGACATCCAAGAACCCTCGATAACATTAACTCTAACACAACTATTTGCATCCCTAATATTGAAAGAGTAAACTTTTTCTCAAGGCTAGCGTACAATCAAAAACCGTCATCATCACTTTTTATGAAAAAATATTTTATTAATCGACGTGTATTGAGAAGAGGCAAAACGCAGAGAAACGAACCTAGAGAAGAGAATTGTCGTCATATGAATAGAAAATAGTTTATCTAATGATTATCATAGTTGACTAAATCACGCTAGTAAAGAATGTCTGGACTAAATAGGATCTGTCATCGTTAGATTGGAGATTAAAATTGCTAATACTTTTTGAATGTATAAATATTTGAAAATGTAATTAACTATTTAATGTTGTCATGCCATCAATTATCATGATAATACCATAGATATGTAGTATATGGAGGCAATATTGTTGAAATTATTAAAAAAATTGATGTAGCAATTATTTATCTATGCTGATGAGTGATGAGTTATAGAACGAGTAAAGGGTCAGTTTGGTCCTCGAAGTTGCATAAAAGGAGTCAAATAAGTCCTTATATAGAAGATTTTGTCCGGACATGTCATTTGAGGTGGTTCCCGGTGTAATTTTTTGATAAAATTTTTGAACATCTTATTCATTAAGTCTAGTTTACTCATACCAAATTTTAGCTAAAAATTCAACCGGGAAGACATTCAAATGAATTATTGAAGATAACTGCGCTTTAATTGCACAATTATCTTTAAGAATTCATTTGAATGTCTTCTCGATTGAATTTTTATCTGAAATTTGGTATGAGTGAACGGGACTTAATGAATAAGATGCTCAAAAAGGTTCGTCGAAAAATTTCACCAGGAACCGCCCCAAATGACGAAGGCTAGATAGAACCTCTTATTTGACCCCTTCTACCTTGGTTACCGGTGACTGGTTTCCTGCCAAAGCACGCACAGCCTTGTGCTGAAGACAAAAATCGCTGCTGCTGTCCCCAACTCCCACAAAAGCTCAAGGCGTTCTCAAAATCCCCCATCTCTCTTAATTCCCAGGTGCCACTTTCTCACTCTTTTTCTACTCTTATGTGAATGAATGTTCTAGGTTTACTTATCTGTCTAAGTCTGGGTTCGAGTACTATCTTGAAACTGGTCACTAATTACTTATTGCTCTGGGTGATTGTGATTCTACTCTTTCCCAATATCCAGGTGCCGACGGGAAGAAGCTTGTAGAGGCAAAATTTTGAAATATAAGGATTCCTCCGCACAAACATTATTACTGTATTACTTTAAAGTTGATATCTTTTGGATTTTAGTCTGGAATGGCTGCTTGTACTTCTACATGCTTTATAACTTCGGATATATGGTGCTCGAGGGGGGGACGGGCTGCTCTTGGAGGGAGAGTTAGTCCTTCGAAAATGCTCATTGAAAGGAACGGGTCTTTGAGTTTGGGTGCTTCTCGAAGGAGTTGTTTGGATTGGTCATTGTTCAGGTGTTCTGCCAATTCCAATAGTTCACCCAATGCTCGTAGTGCGAATCAGTATCAGAGTAAAGACCCATTTCTCAACCTGCACCCAGAGATTTCAATGCTAAGAGGTGAAGGGAACAGTAAAATGGTGACCCCAAGACAGGAAAATTTGATTGAAAATGTTACCGAGAGCTTGAAAGACTTGTCCAGCGTGAGTAATTACAACGAGGCTAAGATTAAGGTTGTTGGAGTTGGAGGCGGTGGGTCAAATGCAGTGAACCGGATGATAGAAAGTGCAATGAGGGGGGTGGAGTTCTGGATTGTTAACACTGATATACAAGCCATGAGAATGTCACCTGTGTTTTCTGAGCAGCGTTTGCAAATTGGTCAGGAGCTCACTAGAGGACTTGGTGCTGGTGGGAACCCAGACATTGGAATGAATGCTGCCAAGGAAAGCAAAGAGGCTATTGAGGAAGCAGTTTATGGTGCTGATATGGTCTTTGTTACCGTAAGTCCAGTGTTCTTTACCTGAAACATTGCGTTGGACTAGCTAGCATTTTCTCTAAGGTCTTGTTTGATTCAGGTTTTATTAATTTTACAAATTTGTCAATATCTGCTAGTTTTGGACTAAAGAATGATTATATGCTTAGTTAGTTCGTGCATTTCTATGCAGCTTTTTACCTTCACTTTATTTTCAATCATCTAAAAATTAAAGAAATATTGACCCTCCAAAAAAGTCCCAACAGTTTGACCCTACGATCTCTGTTTACTGTCTCTGAATGTCAGTGTATAAGAAACATGTGGATTCATTTCATATGATTGGGGTTGATACTTAATTGTCATCTTGATACATAGTATATATCTCTCTCTCTATATATATGAGACTATGACTATCCTATGCAGGCTGGAATGGGTGGTGGAACGGGGACTGGTGCAGCCCCTGTAATAGCAGGAACTGCAAAGGCAATGGGGATTTTGACCGTTGGTATCGTCACAACCCCCTTTTCATTTGAAGGGAGAAGAAGAGCAGTTCAAGCCCAAGAAGGCATTGCTGCTTTAAGAGAAAATGTTGATACTCTGATTGTCATCCCAAATGACAAGTTGTTAACAGCGGTTTCCCCATCTACCCCTGTGACAGAAGCATTTAACCTGGCCGATGACATTCTACGTCAAGGTGTTCGTGGCATATCTGATATAATAACGGTATGGGTGTTTGGAGTGTTATATCATTTGGTTTTATTTGCCACTATTATTTATTTCTCTTGCCTTTTTAATTAGGGAATTAGTTACGGGGTTATAGTTATTTACGTCACTGAATTGCGCAATGACCATGATAATACCTAATTGTTGTAATGTATGGAGGCTTAAGGGGGCAGCAGGCCCATTAGGGTAGAGCCCATATTTAAAGCCCATATTGTAACCCTATTCCCACTCTATAAATATCCTCTTGATGTACCTGTAAATTGAGAAGCAAAAACAGAAATAATACATCTTCTAGTTGCAACTGTGTGGATGTAGGTCATTACGACTGAACCACCTTAAATCTTTGTGTCTTTAATTACTGCAGAGTGTGTGTGTTCAGTGTGATAATCTCTAACAACTGGTATCAGAGCTAGGCTCTAGCTCGTATCACAGAACACCAGCAAAGAAGTTCGTTTTTCTGCTACAGCTGCCGCCGACGCTGCCACCGCTGCCGGAACAAGATTCCGGTGCCGCCTTGCCAGAAAACAGCAATTGACCAGTTAGCCGCCGTCGCCTAAGGTTCAATTGCAGTTTTCCAAGTCAGCCGCAGTTCAAGTCGCCGCCGCCGGATTAGGGTTCCGCCGCCTCCGCTGCCGGAAAACAGCAATTAACCTAGCTGCCGTCATCGCGTAAGGTTGAATTGCAGTTTTACAGTCCAGCCGCTGTAATCCACCGTCCTCAGCCACCGTCAGCCGCCGGAAACTGCGTCTGTGGTAGTCCGCCGTCACCATCAGTTTAATTGCAGTCTTTTTACAAGAACACAGATAAGGTTTTCTTGTTGTTCCCTATTTTCTATTCCTTCGTTATATTTAATGGCAGAGGAAGGAAAGTTGAAAATAGAAAAGTTTGATGGGCAAGATTTTGGATGGTGGAAAATGCAAATTGAAGATTTGCTGACTCAGAAAGATCTAGATGGAACCTTAGAAGAACAGAAACCGGAGAAGACAAAGGCTGAAGATTGGGTAACCTTGAATAGGAAAGCAATATCCTATATCAGATTTACGTTAGCAAAGAATGTTGCCTTCAGCATTAAGCACGAGACAACAGCTTTTGGGTTAATGAAAGCATTATCCAACATGTACGAAAAGCCATCTGCTTCCAACAAGGTGTTTCTGATCAGACAGCTGGTTAACACCAGATTGAAGGAAGGAGATTCTGTTGCAGCTCACGTAAATGAGTTTAATGTCATAGTCTCTCGTTTGCAATCTGTAGAAATCAAATTTGAGGATGAGGTTCAAGCACTGCTGTTATTATCCTCATTACCGGATAGTTGGTCAAGTTCGGTCACAGCCGTCAGTAGCTCAATTGGTAATTCTAAACTTACCTTTGAGGGAGTACGTGACTTTATCCTAGGAGAGGATTTAAGACGAAGAACATCCAGTGAATCTTCTAACTCCTTGTTAAACACTGAATCAAGGGGTAGAAAGGCTGAAAAAGGGAAGAACAGAGGCAGGTCAAAGTCTAGAAGGAGGAGTCAGTCAAAATCAAGGGCTGATATTGAATGCTGGAACTGTAAAGAAAAAGGTCACTTTAGAAGTCAATGCCCAAAGACAAAATCCGCAAACAAACAGGTAAATAATGTGGCAGAATCAGATTCCGATGATGCTCTCATTTGTTGTGTTGAGAGTTCTATGGAATCCTGGATCATGGATTCAGGAGCATCATTTCACGCTGTTTCATGCGCGGATATGGTTAGAAACCTACGAACAGGTAATCATGGTAAGGTTCGTTTAGCTGATGACCAGGTACTTAACATTACAGGGATTGGTAATGTGGACTTGAAGACCTCTTTGGGAACTACGTGGACATTGGAAAATGTCAGGGTTATTCCAAAATTGAGGAGGAAGTTGATCTCAGTTGGTCAGTTGGATGATCAAGGGTTGGATGTTCACTTTGGGGGTGGAAAATGGAAAGTGATCAAAGGTAACATGGTAATCGCTCGTGGAAAGAAACGAGGAACTCTTTACATGACGGAAATACCCGAAGAGGGTGTTCATGCTATGTCTTCAGGTATGACTCCATCCAGTTTGTGGCATCAACGTCTTGGACATATGAGCGACAAAGGACTAAAAATGTTGGCCGATAAGGGAAAGTTTCCAGACATGAAGAAAGTGGAAACTAAATTCTGTGAATCGTGTGTCCTTGGCAAACAGAAGAGAGTTACATTCTTGAAGACAGGAAAGACGCCAAAAGCACAGAAGCTGGAGCTTGTGCATACGGATGTATATGGACCAACAACAGTCTCATCTCTGGGAGGCTCAAACTACTATGTTACGTTTATTGATGATTCAACACGAAAGGTATGGGTCTATTTCTTGAAAAATAAATTTGATGTTTTTGATACCTTTAAGAAATGGAAATCTGCTGTTGAATTGGAAACCAATTTGAAGGTAAAAAGCATCAAGTCTGATAATGGAGGGGAGTACATTAGCAAAGAGTTCATTGACTATTGTGCTGAAAGAGGAATTAGAATGATCAAGACGGTTCCGGGAACACCACAACAAAACGGAGTTGCTGAGAGGATGAACCGAACCTTGAACGAAAGAGCTAGAAGCATGAGGTTGAATGCCGGTCTGCCCAAGATGTTCTGGGCCGATGCAGTTAACACTGCAGCCCATCTGATCAACCGTGGGCCATCTGTCCCTTTGGATTTCAAAATACCAGAGGAAGAATGGAGAGGAAAGGAGGTAGAACTTACACATCTAAGAATTTTTGGATGTGCTGCTTACAGTTTATTGAAAAACAGGGATAAGTTAGATGCCAAGGCCAAGAAGTACACATTTATCGGCTATGGGTCAGACGAGATGGGTTATAGACTCTACGATTTCGATAAACATAAGGTAATCAGAAGCAAGAATGTCACTTTCAATGAAGCCGAGTTATACAAAGACCGAAGCAAAACAAAACCAGAAGTTCAGAAAGAATATACAGAGGTTGAAGATACACTGAAAACTAAAGCTCCAACAGGTGTCTCAGACAGTGGGAGCTCAGAAGTTGAACCTCAAAATGGCTCAACAAGTGGTTCTCAAGAGGATCCAACCAGTATTTCTGAAGACAGTACTTCTGAAGACGAAGAAGAAACTACAGCTCATGCCTCACCGCCCCCTCAGACTCAGTGGGTCAGGAGATCTACTAGAGTATCGGTACCACCAGAGAAGTATTCCCCATCTGCTAATTTTCTGTTGTTAACAGAGAATGGAGAGCCTCAAAGTTATACAGAGGCAGTCAGAATGAAAGATTCATTGCAGTGGGAGATTGCAATGAAGGATGAGATGAAGTCATTGAAAAAGAACAGAACGTGGGAGGAGACAAACCTTCCCCCCGGCAAGAAGGCATTGCAAAACAAATGGATTTACAGGGTCAAAGAGGAACACGATGGTACCAAACGGTACAAAGCCCGACTAGTGGTCAAGGGTTTCCAACAGAAACCGGGAGTTGATTACAATGAAATCTTCTCTCCGGTTGTGAAAATGACAACTATAAGACTGGTCCTGAGTATTGTTGCTGCAGAGAATCTTCATCTAGAGCAACTAGATGTAAAGACAGCCTTTCTACATGGAGATTTGAATGAAGATATCTACATGGTACAACCTGAAGGTTTTCAGGTTCCGGGAAAAGAAAGCATAGTTTGCAGGTTGAAGAAGAGTTTGTACGGGTTAAAACAAGCTCCGAGGCAGTGGTACCTGAAATTTGACAATTTCATGGGTAGATCCGGATATAAGAGATGTGAAATGGATCACTGCTGCTACATCAAGAAGTTCAAGCAGTCCTATATCATTCTCCTCCTATATGTGGATGATATGCTAATCACTGGTTCTGATATGAAAGAGATAAAGAAACTGAAGAAGCAAATGTCAGAAGAATTTGAAATGAAAGATCTGGGTGCTGCAAAACAGATACTCGGAATGAGTATATCAAGGAACAAAGACGGATCTCTAACACTCTCTCAAGAAAAGTACATCAGAAAAGTATTAGAGAAATTCAAAATGGAAGATGCCAAGACCAGAAACAATCCACTAGGAAGTCACTTTAAGCTTTCAAAAGACCATTCACCAAAGACGGATGAAGAAATTGCCGAAATGGCCAAGGTTCCCTATGCATCAGCTGTAGGCAGTCTTATGTACGCAATGGTGTGCACAAGGCCGGATATAGCACACGCAGTGGGGGTGGTTAGTCGATTTATGTCCAATCCGGGTGTGAAAGTATATTAGAATATACTTTAGAATATGCTTTAGAATATATTAGGAATATACCATATATAGTATTATTGTATAGCATCTTTTATAGGAATATTCTATCTTTGTAATCTATATTTATAGGGCCTTACCCTTCAATGAAATACATAGAAAATCTTTCTCTCCATCTTTAATATCATTTTAGTTTATATTTCAACATGGTATCAGAGCCATCCATTTCAATTTAGTTTTTCTTTTTCAGATTTCAGTTTAGTTATTCATAACACTAGACTGATTTCAGTCAGAACCTCTTCCTAGAATTTTTCCCAGAACCTCTTCCCAGAACCCCTTTGTTCTCAGAGACTCCATAAATTTATTAGAGCATTTCAGAAATCCAGAAACTTCAGAAGTTCAGGCCTAAGCTTTCAGTTCATTCTTTTACAGTTTTCGATCATTAGAGCATTCAGCTCTATTGTCATCACTGAAACTTTCAGACAGTTTCTTTGCCGCCGGAAACCAAACCCCTGAGATCCAGAGAAGAAAATTGACGCCCATACTCCACACGCGCCGCCGGAACTCAAGTCCGAATTTCACGCGCCGGCGCGTGATGCTCACACTCCGCCCAGATTCACGGTCGACAACTGCCGACCGGCTGACCTGCATATCGCCTATCTTCTGTTGTCGCTTCACTAGAAGGATGCTTAGTATTCGTCACAACTCTTCAATAAACTGACATCGGAAAGAAAAAGACGGTACCAGGCAAACTAACGAATTTCAGAAATCTGG